TTAATTTTTTTTTGTAATTAGGATGTTTTAGCTAATTTCTCAAATGTAAAGGGGTTGGGTAATTGTTATTTAATTGACATTTGAAAATAATTGTGTCCGAATTATTTTTAATTAAAGGTAAAATGAGTAAAAAAATCAGATTATTCTGATAATATTTTAATAACATCTCTAAATAAAGTAATAAATTACTCCCCTTATTATCAAAAGTAAATATTATTTACAATAAGAGATAATTATAATATTTTATTATTTACAAATCAAACGTAAGAATCTTGAAAGATTATCTCCGTTATCTCACCTCCGATCCAAATGACCCATAGGGGGCGTTTGGTTCGGGGTTAAGTGGGATTACTGGAGTAATGTCATCTTATATTACTTGATTACCACGTTTGGTTGTCAAGTAATATAAAATACCAGTAATCTTCAAATACAATAGTGGTTACTATTGGTAATATAAGAGGTAATCTGATTACCTCCATTTTCTTAGGTTTTCTGAGATTACCAGGGTTATCTTTTTTTGTAAAGAAGAAGAAAGAAAGAAAGAAAAACAAGCTAAACACAGACTAGTAGGTTGTACAAAGTTCAACTTCGGAGCCAGGATTTTGAAAGTTGAGAGTTTGAATTAGTTGGGCTCCCCCTCCATACTTGGAAATTAGTTCTCTTGCTTGAGGAAGTTAAAAACAGAAATGGTTTCCCTTATAAAACAAAGATAAACATATGAATTAGCCAGGAAACAATATTTTGAAACCAAACAAAGGGGTAAGAAATTTCTTTGACAAATTATCACACACAGTTAACTATCTATCCATTGTGCATTTTTCAAACAACGTCATCTCAACATTCACCGACTGATTTTTGAAACTGGGTGGAACCCATATGAACATATAATGCGAAGAACATAAAACAACATTTGAAAATATCAAGTACCAACATATAAATTTGACAAAGAGAGAGGAGAAAATGCCACAAACCCAGTTGCTTGTAGACCCTGATTTTGTTATCCATAGACTGAGAAGCTCGAATTGAGAAATAAAAACGCTGAGCTTGTGTCTTGTTTCTGTTGTTTCTTCTGCATGAAGCACCAGTAGTACCATTTCCTTTCCCAAAAAAAGGCTCGGCAGCCATTTTTCAAGCTAAATTACGTGAATCTGCAGAGAAGGTGTTATAGCAGGGTGTTATTTTGGTGGTGAGACTTGAGTGCGTCCACGTAGTTTGGTTTGATACTGGGTAGAGCGGCTTATCCAAGTTCGATTTGTGTGCAGTGTGGAATGCTGCCATGTCACCAACCGAAGATCAAAATCTGGCCTCTTAGACCAGTTGTCTTTGGCATAGTGGGAAAAGAGTGCGGTTTTCTTTGTTTCTTTGGCTAATGTTTTAAGACACGTTATTTGTTATTTATATAAATAGGGAATTATGTTTTTAGCCCTAATTTAGGGACTGAAATGAAAACCAGCCCTTCTCAGGAAGTCTCTTGTGGAATTACCCCAATTAATATTTTATCATTCCCTTGGGACGAAATTGCCCTTTTCTTCTTCACTTAACACTTCTCTTTATTCAATTTTTCCTCTTTATGAACATTCTCTCACAAAATCCAACATTATCCAAGCTTAATTTATTGAAAATAAGGAATTATTTTGTCCTATGTGTTGAGTTTTTCGTTCATTGGAACCACAACTTAAGGGGTATGCTACTTATTATTTAAAATAATTTTGTGGGTTAGTATATAATAGAAAATTTGTTTTATGTTTGATCTTACATGTTGTATATAAGTTTGTTTTTCTATGTTACTTTGTTGGGATTATTACTCTAAACTCCCCAAAGTTTCACTGATACATCTAAATCTTGAAAGAGCATTTGGTTGGGGGTTATATAAGATTACTGAGGTTATATCATCTTATATTACTTGATTACCACGTTTAGTTGTTAAGTAATATAAGATTCTTGTAATCTAGTTAGTAATTTGATAACCTCAATTTTCTTAGGTATTGTAAGATTACTAAGGTAATTTTATTTTTGCTACAATTCTATCCCTTATTAATAAAATTTTAAGACAATAATATCCTTATTTTTAAATTAATTTACATAAATCTAGCTTTTACTATTTCACCCCAATTAATTAACTTTTAGACAAAATTACCCTTGAATTTAAAATAAATTATAACCCACTTAAGCCACCACCCCCACCCCCCTGCCGCCAGCCAAGCCACTGCCGGCTGCCGTCGGAAGTTGCCAAAAGAAGCTAGAAATCATCGTGAGTAGCCCACCGTCATTGGGAGGCTCCAATATGGCCATTTTTTGCCATAGTAGATCTGGTTGGAAATAGCTAGATCAATAGATTTGGCTGTTAACGGCCAAATCAATGGCCTTTATTAGCCATGTCTGGATGAGATATGGTCGTTAATGACTAGATCGATGGCCTTTATCAGCCATATCTGGATGAGATATGGCTGTTAATGGCCATGGATCTGACTGATAATGGTCATATCCATCGATTTGGTTGAAAATGGTCAGATCTACTTCAATATAGCATTTTTTACCATCAACATAGCCAGAAACAGCTATATCGGAGCCTCTCGGTGTCTCTCAACTACTCACGACGACTCCAGGCAACTTTCGGCAGGGGATGGCGGTGGCAGGTAGTGGCTTGGGGGGGTAGGAGTGATTTTGTTATAAATTAAAGTTTTATATAGGCGGGGTGTTTTAACTAAATCTGAAATGTTAGGGGTTAACAAAAATTATTCAAAAATTAATAATAAAAACAATCTTATATTAAAATTTGAAAAGAATGCAATTTAGTAATTTAAATAACATACCCCACCAATTTATTCTCCTCAACTAAACATATTAAAATAACATACTTACAAATTTATTTCAACTAATCAAACATATTTTTCTAAAGATTCCAAATAATTTTTAAGGTAATATAACATTCCTTGAACCAAACGCAACCTAAACGGTATTAGGAATAACTCTTATCCACACATTATGGATTGACTATTAAATTAATAGACAAAGGAGCAGAGTAATTGTATGGAAATTTCTATACATGAAAAAAAAAGTCCATCTAAACCCTAGAAAAAATTATTCCACTTTTATTTTTTAAACTAATAAAATAAAAATCTAAAAGGGTATAGGTCTATCCCCACACCACCCACCGTGACATCCTACCCCTTTTTCGATCTTGCCAACTATTGTGTTTGCATATGTTCGCTATTCGTCTGCACCTCCTTGGCTCGTCTTCCTTCTCCAGCTTGATGTGGACCTCGAATGGGAGCGTCTCCGAGCTTCCTAACTGGCCCAAGGCTGGAGATCTCTACCACACAACAACATAAATGACTAACGTAGAAAAAAAAAATAAAAATAAAATAATATAATTTTGATAATTAAAAACCCAAGATAAAAAAATAAAAAACCTCAAATCTTTATAAAGAATCATCTTTTAAAGTATGAGATCTTTGATTGAATGGGTATTAATTGTATTTAATAGATATTAATTGTAAAAAGATGAGATAAAAAAAAAAAAAGTAGAGTTTTGCGAGAGAAATAATAAGTTTATGGCAGAAAACAGAAAATGGCGTTTAGGGTTTCTTATGTGAGTTTTGATAGAAAGTTAGAATGGTAACGCTTAATGAAAAAGGTTATTTTTTGTATTAGTAAATATGTGTTATTTTTTATTTTAAAAAAGATAATGCTTATTGAAAAAGGTGTTACACAAAATAAACAACATGATGATATCTGCAAAAATAAGTGTTATCTTTTTGTATTAGAAAATATAACAGTAAATATTAAGTGTTATCTAAATTTAAAAATAATGTTTAATTAAAAAAAGTGTTAGCTTTATAACACTTAGTGTTTGTTTTAGATTGAAAATAAAATTGAAGAAAAGAATGGTAGCAAGTATGAATATTCATGATTGGGAGAGTTCAAAATATTGTAGCTACTATTGGTTGTGAAGTCAGAGATTGAACTCTAATTTTTCTTGGTTTAACTATTGGAAAACTCTTTTTTGGAATCTTCTCATAGAGAAAAGGCTTGACGATGGAGGACAGCTTGTTATTAAAGGAGGAAATTTCTTTGTTTTAAGCAATGTTTTAAAACCCAGCCCTGCCTGGTCGGTTAAAACGGTTCAACCGGAACCCGGAAGCTTCAATTGGTCGGATTTATATTTTTCTTATTCGTCCAAAACCCTAGGATTTGGGAGGATGATCAATGGACAATTGACAGCCGAAATGTTAGGGCTTTTAAAGAGAAAGTGACAATGAATGCAATGGTGGTGATAGAGTTGATTTCCAACAAGTAAATCGACCGAAAATCGAACAAAACTGGGAACGACAACAACTAGCTTTTGCTGGTGATTGGCAAGGCTATCAGGAGTGGAGTGAGGAGGGTTTTGGTCAGGAGGAAGAGGAGAGTAATTTCTGGGTGATGGGGAGGATTGTTAATGTCGACGTCGATGAGATCTGACTTAGAATGCCGACATTAACGTCAATGAGATCTGACTGAAATCAAACCTATTTCGACCAGATCTTAGGTATATTTTAAAGGGAATTGACTCAAATGATGATTGAGATTGCATCTAGGGTGTCGTCGTTGCCAACCAATCACCAACCGATTTGTATTTAGAGTGTATTTGCTAAATTTCAAACCTATAGGGACTTAACATAATTATTAGAGATGTATTTGCTTAACTTTATAAGTTTTTGTCAACCAGTTTGACCGTCGATCAAACCGGTTAAACCAATTAACTTGGGACTCGACAACTTTGCCGAGTTTCACCCCGGGTTAGGTTTTAAAACATTGGTTTTTAAGTGTCTATGTCTTGCATAAATGAGTGGTTACCGCATAAACCATTTTTGGAAATTATTAAATATTCCTTAAGACTACTTATAACACCAATGTTGAACTATACTTATTATTAATATTAACTTCTTTTTAACAATATATTCTTTTTTTATTTAATTTAACATTATTTTATTTAAATCTGAGTTCTACCACACTATTTTACCTTTTGTACAATGCATAAATGAACTCATAAAGATTCTGCAAACTGGGGGGCCTCCAAATCAAGCTCTTGCCTCATTATACAACTCATCAACCAATCACTGCTGAAAGTCCATATTCCTTTCTTCACAGCAGTTAATGCTTCTTCCATGTCTTCCTCACACGCAATATATATCATTTTCGACATTTCATTTGCAATGTCCAGTCGTGCAATAACCTGAATATATGATGTCATTGTCAGATTTATTATGTTGAAGACACTAATTAGGACAAAAAAAAACCTCTCCAAATGTACATTTTATGTAAACACCAATGTTATAAGCCATTTAACTTATATTATATCATTGTTTTTAACCTCAGTTGCGACTACCATCAGAGCTCTATATTAAGTTATACCTCTCACTTCCTAAGGCTTTCAAGTTAGGCCACAATCCCCATTAACCAGAAATAAATGGAAAGCAGCAAAAATAAAGCAATGGAATGATGAAAACAAAAATTCAAAATTTCTACGAAAAAAGGTTCTACATTGGTACATAAAAATTCTACAACTAAATCCACCCTATTGCGAAGAAGATAACAATATGATAGACAAAATGTACAGAAATAAAGAATGAGCCTTCTATTCAGAAAGCTTGAAACAACTATCAAAGCACTAAAGCTAGCTAATTGTACCATAAACCCAACTAAAGCATGATTTTCCGTAAAATGAAAAAATAAAAATCAATTTACTCAATGAAGTGGAAGATATTTAGACTTTGAGAAGGAAAGCACAAGAGAGAAGCCAATTCGACTAAGTTAAATATGTGATGGAGAAAATTTTACTTGCGATCATAATAGGCCGCATCTCATACCCAAACACGGTCCACATAACAATCAACATACATTCTAGTACATGCACGAATATATTCATTTATCATCGAGGATCAAAATCAACCTCTATTTTTAAACCTGCGATACAATTTCTTTGATAGTTAAAAATGAACCTTTAATAATTAAGATCCAACCAGACAAGCAAAATTTGTAGCCATATTGAAAATAGGATATGCCATATTGAAAAACCATACACCATATTAATTCCAAACATTCTAATTACCATGCATAATGTATTTAGCTGTATGTATCATGCATATCAAGCATGTACAAACAGCTTGCCGACATTCCATAAAATCTTTTCTTGGACATTGATAGCAGTTAGTTAGCTAAGTTCGCATTAAAACATTATTAATTGATTATTCTATCAAAAATAATAATAATAATAATAAAAAAAGACAACACATGAATGGCAATTAAAAAAATTAAAAATATGGTTGAATTTTAGTGATTAGTAAATCGAAGCAAAAAGAGATTGAGCACCTATAAGCAAATTGGTCTAAGGCATGAGTTAAAGATGAGAAAGGCAAATTAAAAAAATTCCTATTGCCAAGGGCATATTCATTTATTTCTCATTTTCTTCTTTTTCTCCTTTTAAAATGCAAATATTGTTTAGATATATTCTCATTTTCTGATTTCAGAAAAAGCAAATTATGTTTTCCCCTTAAAATCTAAAAAGTAATAAAAAAAAAGGAAAACAGATCTTTGTACTGTTCTATTTGAAGACTTATTTATCAAAACCAGAAAGAATTTTTGAATTGTTTATTTTTTATAAAGTAATTAATTTGATTTCTAAAACTATGAAGAATTTTAATAAAAAATTCAGATAATATATATTAAAACATATTGTTTATTTCTAGAAAATGTTATTCTACAAGTTTTTGTATTTTATTTATCAGAATGTTATTTTCCAGAAATGATAACCTCTAAAAAAAACAAAATTGATTGCATTCAGTTTGTCAAAGTAGAAAATGAAAATGGAACCGAAGGATGGCCCACAGAAACTTGGAAGCACTAATTTTGCCTTTTTTTAGAATTTTTTTTACTTATCACTAACCATCTTCTACAAATGAAATATGGTCTAATCATCAAACTGAGCATATGAAACTACTGATTGGAAATTAAAAGAAGAAAAAAAAAAAAAAACAATTTGTGCATAAAAAGAACTAGTAGACTTTCCTCACAAACATACAGCCTATAGAGATCCTTCAAACTTACTTTCCACCAGCCGACTTGACGATGGCAGATAGGTTTTGACAGGGGGTTGAACATAGCAGCCATGCTTATGTTGTATCCTTTAAATAAACCTCCTGGCTTGCTTTAGCTCTAAGAACTGCAGTTTTCAACTCAGCTTGACTTCAACACATAATCTTCATCATAATATATAGGGTAATTCATCTGCACAGGAAGATAGCAGGAAGTCAAATAAACTTGAAAGTGCTTTGATAAACAGGAGAACGAGCAAAATATTATCATGAATAACCCACAATCTTCCTTCTCTAAAGCTTTGTTTAACCAACTGGGTGAGACTATCCATGCTCTGCATTAGGGGCCATCACTCACCATTACAAATTATGGCATGTGTATGTTAAAATAAAGATTCATGCAGCAAAATATCGAACAAGCGGCCTGAAATAACTAGAACTCGAGAAGAAAAAACTACATGTCTTCAAGGAAACGAGCAAAATAGACATAATGCAAAGTGGAAACTGCAATAACAAATCAGACACCACCACCACCAAAAAAAAATAAATAAATAAAAGATGGAGTGAGGGGTGGTTTATATCTAGCCTCTGTGATAGTTTACATTATGCAGGTCTCATGGGAAGTAGACAAGTCTTTCCACTTTGTTTCATCCTCTGAAACTGAGTTTGCATCCAACAAGATGCTTGGCATTCTAGAAATTATAGCTGTCATGATTAAATCACTCAAATTGGTGGGGGCTTATTTTGTTACACTTCCATAAAGTAACACCATAGATCAATATTCAGCTTTTGAAGTATTCTGATGGAATATTAATCCAAACGGAACTACAACAAGGCCATATAGAAAATGAATAACATTGAATGAAATGAGAAAAAAATTTGTAAAAGAAAAAACCTTCATTCTACCCTCAGACACTACAAGGTCCTTTAAGACTATAAACTATACATCCAAACAAAAAAATCAAATAATACTCAGGAAAATACAATGTATCTTAATAGAAACAGAAACTCAAAGGAGACAAAAATAAAAACCATTAGTGATAAAGAGTTAATGAAAATGAAATTTTCTATACATTTTTGACAATTTTCCGAAACACAAAATTCAGTAATTTCTAAAGTAAGAAAATTATCAAAAAAAAGACATAATCAAAACAGAAATTGATGAATATATGGATATAACCATGTAAAATATGCATGTTAGATTGAGCAATTCAGCAAAGTATAATAAATATGAGGACCAAATAAGACTAACCCTGAACAGAGAGCAGTGCAGAAATCAGGGTCTTTCTCACTTTTCCTGTGACAACATGGGAGCTTATACTTCCATCATAGGTAACAACCGCCCAAGTTTTCAATTACCTACATCAAATAATTAATGCTCAAAAAATACATTCAAATAGAAACCTCCGAAGAAAAGAAAACATTATTTAAAAGTACTGACACCAAGCGGTATATCAAAAAATTTGGTGGGGAATAGGTGGGGATCTAACCAAATAAGACAACTGTTCAAAATTACCATATATATAAAGAATATTTAATACATAGCATCAATAACATAAGAATCACTGAAATCATCACACGAGAACGTATCCTGGAGTTCGCTTTGAACTCATGTAGAGGGTCAGCTAAACCTCTACTTTAATATCGAAACACTAAAAGGGTTACTGTTTAATTTTATTGAACAGATTTTTCCTGTTGGATATGAGTTTTTACAAGATTCTTTCTTCTAATCACATATTGCATTTAACATTATCTATTAGCATAGTGAGATGTAGTATTGCTGCCTTTTACAGATTTTGTTGATGTTCAATCACAATAACAAGTATATTGTAGTTGCAGTTGTGCCAGTATTTTGAAAATTTCCCTCAAAACAGGAAGATTAAGATATACACCGATGGTAGATTATTTTCATTTGAAGCGGACTGATATTAATAATAAGATGTGAAAGGTTCTCCGTGTCCAGATGGGGAAAATTGGAAATCTCCTGTTGCATACCTTGTTTTAGAAAAAAAAAAAAAAAGAATTAAAAGTGGACACAGTTAAACTTGGTAGATAGTTTAGGATATTTCTTTAGATAGCCAATGGAACATGCTCTTTAAGGACTTGTCCACAAAGTTCCTTTTAGGTCTCATCAATAATGTAAACTCAACATTGAGGATTTTGATTAGTTTGATAACAAATTTCATGTATAACTAAATTTCCTTACGCAGTTCTCTGGCGAATCAAAAGAAAAAATGCTAATCCTCTATAACTTGCTGTACAAAATAAAGTGTATCATTTTAGAAACCTAACTCTGAGAGCATCAACACAGGAACTATTTCCAATAAAGTCAAGATAGGTAAGGAGATGGTCAACTTCTAATTGTTCTACATTCTAAACATTTATACATGGATCAGAATCTTAACAACATACCCACTTCAATTACTGCAATAGAAATAGCAATTATCAATGCCTTTGTGCCAGAAATATTAAATAAAGGAGACATACCTTTGTGAGCTGCATTTCTTAGAACATTCAGCAATATTCATCAAAATGATTCTAAAGCATTTCCATTGGACAGAAGTTCTTGCTAATGAGACTGCTGAAGTAGTAAAAACTGCTTCATCTTTGCACTTTTTAGCAACTACTAGTCAAAGGTAGCAGGAGTAACTTCCACCAAAGATTACTTCCTGAAATCACCAAGTCATCACCTTCTGAAACTAAACCGAGGTAGAATCTAACTGACAATCAACATGATGACTTCCTTTAACTTTTTTGGACTTCAGTGAAGGCAATGAGGCTTCCCAAATCCTCCTCTTTGCACATTGTGCAGAGCAAGTACAGTGTATAGCATCAGTATCAGCCAATCTTGGCTGCAGTAATGGCATGTTGCTGCGCGTGCCTTCTCTAAATTAGTTCGGTCCCCAAAACTATGCATTAAGTCCCAACCCTGAGAAAAACCTGTTAAAAACAAAGGGAAAAAAAAAGGTCAGCACCAATATAAAAACTATGAAATTTTGTTAGGAAGACAAACTGAAGAGGTGACACTTAGATATCATTGAAAATCATTTCTAAATTTTTGTAACAGTTGAAGTAGGTCTACACTAAATAGTGAAACTGATTCAGAGAGCCTCTGAAGGTTTCAAGATCTACCCAATGTGAT